TATTATACATCATTAGAAAGGTCTCAAAATTCTTAGTTCTTTTTCCATATATCTCAACTTCGAATTTTGCACGGTGTGGCCTACAGGCGAGTTGCCGTCGTGAAAATTTGGAAAAATCGGAAAATCTCGAGAAAATTATATGAACACACTTAACCATTCATATACCATTTTATTCATAATTTTATTCTGCATCTTTCGTACGAACAAAGTTTTTTCGTATCTTTTACGGTTTTTATGTTATAGAGCAATATGTGTAGATGTTAACATGTCAAAATGCAAAGTGCGGCTAAGTTGGAGCAACACTCTTCACGATTCGATATTTCTCTAAAGAAAACATATAAAGTATTATACATCATTAGAAAGGTCTCAAAATTCTTAGTTCTTTTTCCATATATCACAACTTCGAATTTTGCACGGTGTGGCCTACAGGCGAGTTGCCGTCGTGAAAATTTGGAAAAATCGGAAAATCTCGAGAAAATTATATGAACACACTTAACCATTCATATACCATTTTATTCATAATTTTATTCTGCATCTTTCGTACGAACAAAGTTTTTTCGTATCTTTTACGGTTTTTATGTTATAGAGCAATATGTGTAGATGTTAACATGTCAAAATGCAAAGTGCGGCTAGGTTGGAGCAACACTCTTCACGATTCGATATTTTTCTAAAGAAAACATATAAAGTATTATACATCATTAGAAAGGTCTCAAAATTCTTAGTTCTTTTTCCATATATCACAACTTCGAATTTTGCACGGTGTGGCCTACAGGCGAGTTGCCGTCGTGAAAATTTGGAAAAATCGGAAAATCTAGAGAAAATTATATGAACACACCTAACCATTTATATACCATTTTATTCGTAATTTTATTCTGCATCTTTCGTACGAACAAAGTTTTTTCGTATCTTTTACGGTTTTTATGTTATAGAGCAATATGTGTAGATGTTAACATGTCAAAATGCAAAGTGCGGCTAGGTTGGAGCAACACTCTTCACGATTCGATATTTCTCTAAAGAAAACATATAAAGTATTATACATCATTAGAAAGGTCTCAAAATTCTTAGTTCTTTTTCCATATATCACAACTTCGAATTTTGCACGGTGTGGCCTACAGGCGAGTTGCCGTCGTGAAAATTTGGAAAAATCGGAAAATCTAGAGAAAATTATATGAACACACCTAACCATTTATATACCATTTTATTCGTAATTTTATTCTGCATCTTTCGTACGAACAAAGTTTTTTCATATCTTTTACGGTTTAAGAGAAAATCGAGGAAAACTGGTTTGAACATTTATTGTAAAATTAGAAAATTTAAACAAATAATTATAAAAAATAATATAACTATATATATAAATTCGTTTTATATTCATTGAGATCTATAAAAATCAATAAATACATAATTTTATGCAAAAGTTTAAAAAATCCCAAAAAACACCTAAAAACTCAATAATTAACTATAATTCATATTGTCCATATATATAAAACTGTTTGAACATCTAACAAAATTTTCGACAAAAATTTTTCTATCATAAGGGTTCACAGTTCGAAATTTTCCCAGACTTTTGTCTTGACGATTCACACCGTAACCCGGAGCGACGCCTCGCCGCAGGTCAAAATCACATCGCTTGGGACTCAGTCGAATACTTACGCTGTGGCCGCGCGCCTTATATAGGGGGATAGGTCGTGTCGAGTGCGATGCGAGCAAGCTCAGGCTAAAGTACGCTATGTTGTTCGGGCGGGTACGGATATCATTCCCCGGTGTAGTTTTTACATCATATTCGATACTTTTAGTCTGTCAATGATATATTAGCGTAACTTTTAATAATGTTGTGAGCCACATCTAGAATTATATACCCCGTATATATTCGGATGCTGGTTTGCGGCTATAGATAACTGGTGGTAGGATCATTCGTTTTTAAACGTTCGATCAGAGAGAGTTGAAATTATTTGGGTCTGCGGACCGCAAATATGAAATCTATATATTTTAATAATATAGAATTTTACAAATTGACTACGGTCAAATATATGTGAATGTAGCAGAACTAGCAAAGCTTCTCGCAGCGATGGTCTTTCGTTTTATGAACGTTTGATCGGAGCGAGTTGAAATTATTTGGGTCTGCGGACCGCAAATATAAAATCTATATATTTTAATAATATAGGATTTTACAAATGGACTAAAGTCAAATAGATGGGTGGTGCAGCAGAACTGACGAAGCTTCTCGCACCGAGGATCATTCATTTATGAACGTTCGATCGGTGCGAGTTAAAATTATTTGGGTCTGCTGACCACAAATATGAAATCTTGTGATTACTCGACAAATTATTGCTGTAATCAAGTGCGCTCCTATAGTATAATATACTGTGGGCAAAAGCTTCTGGCAATGATCATTCGTTTCATTAACGTTTGACCGGAGCTAGTCGCAAAATATTGCGCAGTGTGCAAAAGCAGCGTGACGCAGTTTACAACCGCTTAGCGCTCTTATGCATTGTGTGAGAGCACTGCCATGTATATCTGCTCGGTATCGCCAGATGCCTGAGCGAATGACGAAGTTCGTTGTGAAAACGGCGTTCTTTTTGAATATTATACTTTAAACGCATAGCTCAATCAATTCTTTGGGCGCTAGATGAAAGTCTAGTGTTTTAAAGTCGATTGTAGTAAACGCTTGCGTTAGTATTCTATATACTCTGCACATTTTATTCAAATTGTGCGAATTTGAACATTCGCTTCATTGCGTTGTTTTAAGAAAATGAAAAATCAGCGAAAGCAGATTTTTTAATCTCACACACAGTGAAATATTCATATTTCAATTTTAAAGCGAGGACGTTTGTTTTTGGACCACAACGTACTCTAAAATTGCTAAAGTGGTTGCGCGTCCTAGAGAATTTATTTTCTTGCGACCCGCCATATAGCCTGTCCAGACCATCGCGGTGATGGTTCGCACGGTAACCCGAGGCGACCCGTCGCTGCAGGTCAAACTGTCGTAGACCGTGTCTAGAATAATATACGCCGTATATGTTCGGATGTCGGTTTACGGCCGGGTTCTGGACCTTATTTATAAGTGTTCAACCATACTGTACAGCATATCCGCGGGCATGTGTCGTTGACGCAAAGACTCTTATGCGGAAAATAAAATATACAAATGCAATCAACTCAATACTCTCCGAGCGAGAATAAAAGTTAGTTATAACGATGAATTCTTATAATGAATTCGCCCCGACGTTTTCAATCTAACGAAGGGTAAAGAGACTGTTTGAAATTAACTGGGTCTGCGGACCGCAAATTTCATGTACGGACCGCCGTTTCGACGGTTGTTAAAGGTCTAGCCTCTGTGTAAGCGCAGAATATATAAAATATCAAGTCGCGATGTAAACTGTTCGTTATGTTCAGGGAATATCGTACGACTCAGATATATATATGTAAGAAAATTCGTTGTTTAGAAATATTCATCGAACTTTTCTATACAAAGTGTGGTCTCTCGGGTGACGCCGAGGGACATTTACGCACTATGCTATTATATATATATATAGCACCCAGGTTGATCCTGCCAGTAGTATATGCTTGTCTCAAAGATTAAGCCATGCATGTCTCAGTGCAAGCCACATTAAGGTGAAACCGCGAATGGCTCATTACATCAGTTATGGTTCCTTAGATCGTACCCACATTACTTGGATAACTGTGGTAATTCTAGAGCTAATACATGCAAATAGAGTTCCGACCAGAGATGGAAGGAATGCTTTTATTAGATCAAAACCAATCGGTGGCGGGCTTGCCTTGCTCACCGTTTGACTTGGTGACTCTGAATAACTTTGTGCCGATCGCACGGTCTAGTACCGGCGACGCATCTTTCAAATGTCTGCCTTATCAACTGTCGATGGTAGTTTCTGCGACTACCATGGTTGTTACGGGTAACGGGGAATCAGGGTTCGATTCCGGAGAGGGAGCCTGAGAAACGGCTACCACATCCAAGGAAGGCAGCAGGCGCGCAAATTACCCACTCCCGGCACGGGGAGGTAGTGACGAAAAATAACGATACGGGACTCATCCGAGGCCCCGTAATCGGAATGAGTACACTTTAAATCCTTTAACGAGGATCTATTAGAGGGCCAGTCTGGTGCCAGCAGCCATTGAAATATTATACTTTAAACGCATAGCTCAATCAATTCTTTGGGCGCTAGATGAAAGTCTAGTGTTTTAAAGTCGATTGTAGTAAACGCTTGCGTTAGTATTCTATATACTCTGCACATTTTATTCAAATTGTGCGAATTTGAACATTCGCTTCATTGCGTTGTTTTAAGAAAATGAAAAATCAGCGAAAGCAGATTTTTCAATCTCACACACAGTGAAATATTCATATTTCAATTTTGAAACGAGATTTTGTATCTCGGACCGAAACGCGAAAGCTTTACGGTGTACTAATTGTAACCATAATAATCATACTAGTTTCAGAATCGCCCGAGTTATCTTAAACGATTTCGAGGGAATCACGATCGAAACATGTATAAATATATATAAAATCACCCTGAACGGTGGATCACTTGGCTCGTGGGTCGATGAAGAACGCAGCTAATTGCGCGTCGACATGTGAACTGCAGGATACATGAACATTGACATTTCGAACGCACATTGCGGTCCTCGGATACTGTTCCCGGACCACCTCTGGCTGAGAGTCGTATAACATTACCAGACTGCCGCTTGCTTTAAACGGCTTGCCGGCGAATGATGGAGTTTCGCGTATATGCGTGCTCTTAAATAATTCACTCAACGTGTGAGCCAGTCCACTTTGCAACATCGGACATTTCCGTTCGTTGACGTTCTGTGGGATTACGGCGGGTTGTGTGTCCTAGAGATTTTATATTCTTGCGACCCTCCCAATAACCGGAAACCCGAACTCTTCGAAATGCGGTTTCGTTCCGGCAAATTTGGACGATTCAAAGGTTCCTCGTCGATTTTGTGTGCGCTTGCTTACTAACGTTTGCAAGCACATCATAATCATAATA